CCCTCCGACAGTGCGGCGCTCCCTCAGCACTGACCCTCCGACAGTGCATCACTTCCTTTTTACTGGATTGTAAGTGCCAGCCTAGATCACATTAAGTGGGGTCCAAACCAAGATGGTGGTGTTTCTGACTCACACCTGAACATGCTCAGACATGATAAAATGCCACTCCAGATAAGGTGCTGGAGAGCTGGTGCCTATGGAGTGGACTCGGATATCGGAGGAGTTAGTTGGGCAAATAGAGTCACACAGGATAAAATGCAACATCAGCATTCTGGAGATGATTGTAAACAATCAAGCTCACTTTCTATCAGGTGTCACCTTAGACCCATTAGATATGATTGCTTAGGAATTGTTACAATTGTATGTGAAGGTTATTGCAGGCTCTCTCCAACGCTGTCACTCACTCTCAGGGGTTTGACTGACTCACACTAGTATGACAGGGTTGAATGATTCTTCCCCTCACATGCAAGCTGTTTTCTGGAGACCAACCTTTAATAAGATTGTTATAAGCATTGGCCCAGCTATTCCGATGGCCAGTGGTCAGGATCCCGATTGGCTCCTTGTTGGTCTGCAGCGATGAGTGCCAGATCTTCTCCAGCTGCATGTAAATCTGATCGACAGTCAGGGGGCTCCCGTCACTGTTATACACGAACAGCTCAAAGAACTGCAAAACACAGACAGGAATCATTCATTCAGCTACGCAACTGAAGGGATGATCCAAGAGTCAATCTGAGGCAAAGCTAACAATCAGCCAACCTCCTCGATCCTGATTACTATGGAACTACCTGTTTGAAAGCATCTACGTTGTAGTAGGGCAAAGTCTTTGTCTTGGTGCCCACTCCCATTGAATGGACTGCCAGCTCCCTTCACCACTTGCCTTCTCAGCTTAGTGCGGGGATGGCCTATTGTGAAAGATACTGGAAAGCAATTGTCCATTGAGCTGCCCAACCACATCCTGGAGCATCTTAATTAGTAGGTCTGGATAGGAAAGATGTCAGGATGTAGTTAATGAGCAATCTGAGAAATGATAGCCAGTGTAGAGTGGCTGGATGGGGGGTGGCGGAGAGGAGATGTGTAGGTTTGGAACCGTAGTTCCCAAAGACAGAGATGAGATAAAGCTTTTTCCATAGGGGTTTGAGTTTGTGGAATTCTGTTCCCTGGAGAACAATGGAGACTGAATTATTGAATTCAAGACTGCTGTAGATAAATGTTTGATAGACAAAGGAGTCATGAGTTGTGGGAAACAGAGGAAAGTGGAGTTGAGACCAGAATCAGATCAGCCATGATCTTATTGAAGACAGCCTCCTGATCCTCTCATTCACGGGGTGGAGTTCCTCACCTCATGTCTGCGTTATTATAGATTTGGTGAAGAGAGATCAATCATTGTGACTGAACAATATTGTTGGATCAAGGGACAACCAGGAAGGGAGGGAAACGAGTTGGACCTTGGTCGCTTTTCATCCAGTATTTCCTCGGTTCCTTCAAAACAGGGGAGGAGCAGAGATAAAGAAACATCAAAAAGACAGCAGCTTTGAGAACACTGGGAAGAAACCCACCTGGAAGTTGTGCACCACGGTTATGTGTGTTGGCTTTTTAGTCTGACTGTAGTTGACAACAGAATCACTTTTGGGGCCTGGGATACGACAGGATGACAGAATCTGGTAATACTGGTTCATACAGAGTGGGTTCCCTCCCAGAGTCTCCACAGGAAGGGTCTCACTGTGGAGAACAACAGAAAGGAGATCATCTAATGAGTATTTTACATAGTACAGAGGGACAAAAGTGAGCTCATCTTAATCAGAATTCTTAACCTTACGTTCAAGGTTGCTGTCTGGCCTTGCCTCTCCCCCTCCCAAAATTCCTGTCCCTGTTATCTCCCCAAGCCCAACAATTCTCTGGCCTGCTCAGAATACCCATTTACACTGGCCTTCTAGGTCCCAAAACTCTGCAAAACTCCCTCAGCCTCGCTTTCCTCCTTTAAGACATGAAAGGAAACCTCCATTTCTCTGACCAAGCTTTTGGTCACTACTGTTAGTATTTTAAATTATTGCTCGCCAGTACAGAACTGAAAAATTGCTGAAAGGAGGCAAGAAGATCAAGCTTTCCTATTGTACTCATCAGGACAAAGATGCTTGTATGTTTCTTTCATCTGATTCCTGATGACAGCAAAATGAAAAGTTTCAACTTCTTTCCTTTGAGCCATGCTGAAATCCTACTTGCAGCTCACATGGCTGTGTTAAATTTAGCTTGTTAATTGTACCTTTGCATGTTTAACTACACTAAAAGTGCTGAATAAATGCAAGCTGTTGACATTTTAAAGGCACTTGGAGGAAATATTTTGTACAGCTGGCAGCAACGATCCTGCAGCAAATTGTCCAGGAAAACGAGGGAGCTAAATCTGTATGTGCAATCCCTCATCTACAACGCACCACTGACTTCTAAATTATTGTTCACGGGTCACATTTATTGCCCATTCGGCAGGTGGTGGTGGTGAGCTGTCTTTGTCAATTGCTGCAGTCCTTGGGACACCCACTGTGCTGTTAGGGAGGGTGTTCCAGGATTTGGATACAGTGATACTGAAGGAATGGTGATATATTTCTGTGTGTGTGGCTGAGAGCGCAAGTTGCATGTGGTGGTGTTCTCATGTATTTGCTGTCCTTCACCTTCTAAGTGGTAGAGGTTTCAGGTTTGGAAGGTGCTATTGAAGGAGTTTTAACGAGTTGCTGTAAACAGTGTGCTAATTTCACATCCCCATTAATTGTATAATTTATATTACACACCATCTCACTTCACATGAATTATTCCTATTTATTTATTTGTCATCCTGACTGAGATTGAGATTTCACACTCACTTGTCAATCATGGTCTTAAAATCCAGAACACCAGAGATCAGCTTGGCTGCGAACCTAGAAAAGAGCAGAGACACAGATCTGCATTAAACACTGGCGAACACAGGGAGAAATCACTGCTTTCCACTGTCTACGGCCATGTTACTCATTCATATAAGAACAGCTACACTCCTAAACAAAAGCAAGGAAAGAAAAGACTATTTAGAACCTTCCACCATCTTAGACATCCCAATGGGCTTCATAGTCAATGAGGAATTTTCAATGTGCAGTTACTGTTCTAAGATAGGACATAATGCAGTAAATGCATAACACGCTCCCAGTAGGAGCAATGTGTTTGCTGTATCATTGATGTTAGTTGAAGGATACAGATTGACACAGGGCAGAATTCCTGTTCTTCTTTCAGACAGTGGTCGTGGGATCCTACACTCTCTCCAGTTTTTTCTACTGCTACTTGCCCCCATGAGATCAGCGCTTAGCAGTGACTTCTGGAATTCAAAGTCAGGAGATCCAATGCACAGGTGCTTTGAGCTGTTGTGTGGTCACATAGCTAAGTGGGAAAACTGGTGGGATCACATAGATACTAGAGGGGCAAGGAGGAGAAGCTTGGTTCAACGTCTGATCAGAAAGACGGCACCTCCAACGAAGTACAGCAAAGAGAATGCCAGCCTGGATTATAGGCTCTCAAGTCTCTGGAATAACTTACATTCTTCTGACTCAATGATAAATGCACTACCCACTGAAGCAGAGAGAGGGGGAGGGCTGTGGTCATGTTGGTAAGGAGCTGAGTGGGAAAGGTGCAGGAACAGGAGATGGGGCTCAGAAGAACTGAACTCAGTGAGTTGATGTGTTGGCAACAGAAAGCAACAAATTCCTGGAGATCCGAGACAACAAGATGCAGGGCTGGATGAAC